TTAAAAATGATTAGTTTGAAATATATGTCTTTGTAATTTATATAATAAATTATATATTATAATTATACGAACATATTTTTGCGGAAATGTTATTTCTATGTATCGTTTTATCCTTGTTGTTCAACCAATGTTAAACAAGGTAAGATAATACGGAGGTAATATTTTCGAATACAGTCTTATTATAATATAATAAAAATTTGTAAGCTTCATGAGATATATCTTAATTGGCACGCAGTATGTTGTGTCCGAAATAACGATGACATTCTTTATTTCTATCTTTTCTGACACTCTCCAATTACAAATCTTTGTTGTACTCTGAGGCATTCTTAGACATTTCTTGGAGAACTGTTGTGTAGTAAAATTTGAATATGAAAAGATATTTTAAGATATTAATAGGATATTTTATGATGTTTTATGATATTTTATCCTATGATATTTTACAATATTTTTTTTGGATATCGGGTGGAATATCTATGGGATCGCTTTGTCAATATGGGACAATTTGGGATATCCTCAGGCTAAAGCGTGCTGTGTGGGATGATATATATGTATGTACATCTATAATACACACACACACACACGCGCGCGCGCGCGCACACACATAATTCATATTAAATTATTTAAAGCATTAAACATCCAGTTTTGACCTATATAAGCTTCTAATTATCGATTGTGATTCTAATAACAATTAAAATTTTATAATCTTATTAATAATTATTATAGAAAATCTAATTCTTATATTTTTAAATTGTAAATAATTAGAAGAATTACAAATAAGACGAGATATTTTATTTCAACTTTGAAAGTTAAGCATGTAAATAATTATCAGATAAAAAAGTTGATTGATTATTTCATATGAAATGTCTGATAAAATATTTTTTTATGGTAACTATTCATTATGATATTTCATATTATTCTAGTTTAGCAGCATAATTAATATAACAGTATATATCATCTTAGAATGTTGATTTTACAAATAAAATAAAAAATTTTATAGTATAGAAGCAATAACAGGGTGTTTATATAGGGTCTTTGGAAAATAATGATAAATCTTTTCATGGAGGCAAAATGAACTAAGAAGAAAAGTCCTTTTGCAATTTTCGCAATAGTTAACAAGATTTTAATTGCTAAAAATTGCCGAAAATTGGTCTTCAATAATTTTTTATTCAAGTATAAGTACTGTCAACTTTACAGAAAAACTGCAAAAACGAAAATTGTTTCTTTTCATAGAACTTTTAGAATTTTTAGAACTTTTAGAATTTTTTATCAACTTTTTAGTACTGCATTTTCTCATTTTTACTAACAAAAAATACGGTATTAAAAAATTCTAAAAAAAATTTTAGAGTTCTATATAGAAGAAAATAAACAATGTTTGTCTCTTGCAGTTTTTCTATAAAGTTGATAGTATTTGATAAAAAATGATTGAAGATCAATTTTGACAATTTTTAGCAATTAATATCTTAACTATTGCGAAAATTGCAAAATGGTAGAGGACTTTTCTTTTCAGTTTATTTTCTTTTTATTTAAATTTATTTCTTTCAGTCCATTCTCCTTATGCGAAAGATTTATCATTATTTTTCAAATACCCTGTATAAACACGTTATTGCTTCTATATTGTAAAATTTTTTATACCTTGTATATCCCCTTTTTATACCTTTATATTCTATTTATATATATCCTGTTTTTTATTTCTGCACTCTCTAAACACGATGCTGAAATAAAATAAACGTATTTGCTTCATTTCAACTTATTGAACCAATGCAGGAATAAAAAATAGATCTTATGAGTTTTTAGGATTAAAGCTTCCTAGGACATTGAAACGCTAGGGCCGCTACAACTTATTATAAAAAGAAAATAGACAGGTAATTTAAATAAGCATGTTTGTAATGCTATTTTAGGTACGTTCCATTCAACGTTCGTAACGCTCGCGAGCATTATTTCATTCTTATTGTTTTCAAATGTTAAAGAGTAAAATGATGTTTGCAAACGTTAAATGAAACATATTCTTTATAAATATCATGCAACTATAGGTAGCTATTTTCATTAATGTATACATTCTTGGTGCGAAATCGTTTTCTTAACAATAAGATTAATGATATGATAAGATTAATGATATGACCAGCTAAACATTCTTAGGACATCCTCTGTTATAGTCCAGAGACGTCCTGAGGATTATCAAATCAGCGCCTCATTATATCCTTCATACAACTATAGAATTACGAAATTCGAAGCCCTAAAGACGTCCATCCATAATCCTTGGGATAATTCTATTACTTCTCATATAGTACAGACTTCCAAGAGATGTCCTAAAGTCCTATGGACGATCGCAGGATATTTCTCGGATAAAGTGTGCTTGAATTTGTAAGATTTAAATATTTTAAAAAATATTATATTTATTAATTTTATTGATACAAAAAAATACAATCATATAATCTCGCACTAATTGTAAGTACATATGAAATAATATTTTTGATATTCCGTATAGCACACTTTCTTCTAAAGATGTTCTTGCGAATGTTTTCGGAATGTTAGAATGTTCTCAGAACGTTCCTTCGACATCTGTGTTATATGATATGATATTCAATAGATACTTTCAGAAAGATTAGAAAGTTTTACATTTTAAAATGTTCTCTCTTTGTCAAGCACAAGTTAAATTCTATTGTTTTAAATTAAATTATTTTTTGGTTTGTTGTTTTTACCATAAGTGACGAAAAAATTTTGATATATTAACGATGTTTATTAATTAAAGTTATCATTATATGTCAAATGACTATTCGGTGAAGTGTTGGGTTGTAATGTTAAGAATGAGGGCTATTGCAGATAAATTTCGTAACGATAAGCATA